CCACCCTGGGAACGCGGAGCCAGGGCAGAGAGGCAGGCTGGGCGAGAAACCCTTGGCAGCTGGAGCTGCACAGTGTGTGATACCCCTGCCCAAGCACCTGATGGTGCCTTATCATCAATGCTATCGCAGACACGGTTCTGTACGATGGGAACCAACCTTGGCACCTGCTCCTTAGGTTTGCTGCTAGGCATTCACCTGCAGGTGCCTTCTTGGCCGTTCAGGTAAGCATTGTGGTTATCTGTGGTGCTTGGTGACCTACGGCATGTTGTTCGTCCACTGTTCCTCACTGTGCAGCAATTTTTTGGGAAGATAAGCACAGATCGTGTGGTTTGCCATGTACTGGTGCTTGCTCGTGTTAGTACTTACTCCACTTAGTGCTTTGATTCGTTTATGTGTTGTGGCGTAGACAGTGATAAGGTTGAGGTAGACAACTGCAAGTTGCATCTTCTTGGCTTTGATGCAGCTAAACACTGATGAGCTGAGGGCACTTTTGCGTCGGGCAAATGTTTATTCTGTATTTTGGTGACAGAATACAAGGAAAGAGATGTGAAAATTGTAGTTTCGCTGTGCGTTTTCAGGAAAGTCTGGTAGATGTTTGGAGGGTGATTCAGGAGCTGGAATTTTCCTTATGATTACCAAGACTTCTGAAAAACAAACGAGGAATAGGTTTTTAGTCCTCCTATCGTACTTCTGTGGTAGTGAGCTGGTTTAGATGGAATGTAGCTTTACTAAGGTCACCTTCCCGCTTCTCCCTCCCGGCACACTGACACCGTTACGTGCTCGCGAGCCGTCGAGGCTGGAGTGTGCTGGGATGAGGCCCGGCACCCTCACAAGGGGAGGCCGAGGTTTGAGAAGAGACCTCTGTGCAGCAGCCAGCGCCTTGGAAAAGTGAAAGTGCCCCGTTAATAACCCAGAGAGGCCTTGGAGAGAGCAATGTCCTGTCCCAGGGGACACAGCGCTGCCTCTCTGGTTCGCTGCGAAGCAGCAAGTTCTTGAGGAAGAGATGGGGAGCGAGAGTGGAATGGGAGAGAGTGGGATGCACGAGGCTACAGGCTGAGAGGCTGCGGGCAAACGGCTACAGGTAATTTTAATACTTATAAAACCAGTATAAGCTGGTATTTACTGCTTGTGCTGCGTGCGAGAGAACTGGGTGCGATGCAGCAGTGAGCGTGCACGTGGCAGCAGCGTTGGGAGAAGCCCCACGAGCCCGCTTCATCCTCCTTTTGCACGTGTGTATTTTCTACGGGATTCTTGAGTCTCTTAGAACGTAGCACCGGCTTAACTTTGACTTGAATTTTATTTTGTGGACTCCTGTTCTTTGAGGAGCGGTTCGGTGTGTTGATACTACAGGAAAGCTGGAGAGGGACTTTTTATAAGGGCGTGGAGTGACAGGACACGGGGCAATCGCTTTAAACTGAAAGAGGGGAGATTTCTATGAGATCTAAGGAAGGAATTTTTCACTCCGAGGGTGGTGAGGCACTGGAGCAGGTTGCCCAGAGAAGCTGTGGCTGCCCCATCCCTGGCAGTGTTCAAGGCCAGGTTGGATGAGGCTTTGAGCAACCTGGTGTAGTGGAAGGTGTCCCTGCCCATGGCAGGGGGGTTGCAACTGGATGATCTTGAAGGTCACTTCCAACCCAAACTGTTCTATGATTCTATGATCTTTGAGGTCCCTTCCAGCCCAAACCATTCTGAGATTCTGTGATACACCTCTGACCACGTAAGCACTGGTATCACGTTGCTGCGGTTGCGCTTCTGGAGCGTTAGGAGCCTGTGCTCTGCTTTCCTAAACCAGCTCTTCGATTCCACCAAGCTTCCAGCCACTTGCAAGCCTGGCTGGTTTTACTCCGTGACAGCTTCCCCGCGGAGTGGTTTTGACTGTACTTTTGCCCGGTCTCTTGTGCTGGGCACAGCAGAGAGGAGCGTGCTGCTGTTCTGTGTCAAAGTTTTTGGGAAGGTAGAGAGGAAAGAGCAGTCATGTGCTGGAAAGAGCAAACTACAGGTAGCGGCCAGTTGGCTCTTCTGCCACCATATTCAAGGGCTTTTCTTCTGCATCCATGGCTATTTCCAGCTATCCCTCAAATCTCTTTTCTACCCCTGAGGAAGCTTTGTCCCGTTCTCCGTTTGCCCCTTCTCCATCCTGCCCCTGGGGAAAATGAAGGGATAGCTGTCCCACCTCCCGGGGTGAGGGCAGATGCCGTTTCTTTCTCCGTGTGAGATTTAGGTGCTGCCCTGCGCCGTGCCTTGGACTCGCTGCGTAGCCCGAAGCCAGAGTCAACCCTAAACTCTGCTGGCTGCTGCAGCCGCAAGCTTTTCCCTCCCACCTTGCTTCACCTTCCTACATGTGCCCTTGCAAACTTTTTCTGCAGAAAAAGACTTCTGGTCTCTCCAGCCGTGCACCAGTGCAATGCAGTCGGCACCACGGTGCTCTCCTTTGCCCTCCTGGCTCCGAAACGTGTCCGTAGGTGGGTGCTGTCCTGGATGATCCACCTCGCTGGCCAAGGGAGATAATGGGGCAGGCAGGGGCCTCATGGGCTGGCGAGCAAGGACGGAGATAGGGAGGAATGTAACTGCTGTACGGTCTGGGTTTGGGGTGGAGCTTCTTTGATTTTACTTTATTTTAATTTTTTTTTTTTTTTTTTTTTTGGTGGGAGCTCTGTGTGTGTGCGTGGAGCAGATGACTGAGAATATTTGGTATTTGCTCCTGAATTGATCTCGCTGGAGGATCCTGATACTTAAATGCTGTTACAGGAAGAAGCTATACGTATGTTTGCCTTTAAAATGGCTTTCCTGCTGTCTGAATTCCAAAGCAAAGAGAGGTTTTTGTAGTTTGTTTTTGGGATTTGGGGCTCCTCCTCTCCAGTGGAATAGATATATGTGGGATCAGGAGCATTTGACTTAATCTTTGGTTTCTTCTAACCAGCCTAAAATTCTTCTGGAAGACTTTTGTGGAGTCATTCCCTATCAATTCTTCTAGGAAAATTGTAGAGTCTTGGAAAAACGTATTTCCTGTCTAACGCTGATCCTCCTACTCTCAATGAATCACTTGTACTCTCGTGTTGCTTTGGGCTGACTTCCCTATTGACTTCAGTGCCTGGGATTTAATTAGAAATCTAGGGATGTTATGCGGAGCCATAAAACTACATACGATTCTTCTCAGTGCAGAGGGATTACTGTAATAAAAAAAAAAAAATTAAGAAAATTAAATATTTGCATATTAACTGTCCTTGGTGCGAAGAGTTGCTTCGTGTTTCCGCACACACGGTTCTTGCAGACTTGTTTCATCCCATCCTCAGCGGAAAGCAGCACCAAACCCATAAACAAACCTCAGGCACGGGCCGGGGTCTGCAGCACACGCAGAAGGATGGTTTTTCCTGGGTATTTTGTAGGGGAGAAATAGCCCCCAGAAGTTCTCCGTTGGCCTGAAAACTTCTGGATGAGCCCTTCCTGTGGAGTCACAGTCCTCGGCAGCAGAGCTTCCTGAGAGCCCAGGAAAACTCACGTTGGCTAAGAAGGGACTTGAGTCCCTGAGGGGTGACCTGGCTTTAGGGTGAAAAGGAGCAGTTTTACTCGGGGTGGGGTGTGTTTAGGGACTCTCCTGCATCGATGCTGTTGTCTTGTGTCCGTTGAAGATAGCACCTGCAAAAATAGCGGTGCTCTATTTAAAACAAAACAAACCCAAAAACCCCACGAAACCCTGTGGGCTGTAACTTGCTGTGCACACCCATGGGGCTGCCCGGCTCCGGCTGTCGGGCAGGGCCTGTGCTGCTCAGCCCATGGGGACGTTATCTTCACCTCTCCCTTCAAGCTGCCCTGCTGGGATGGGGCAGGGGAGATAAGGGGGGCAGTGCCGCTGCAGCGGGGGTGCTTGCCGAACCCCCCTGCCAGCAGCATCAACACATCCCATCTAATTCCACAAGAAAAAAGGAGTCGCCTCCGTGGAGAAAATCTTCCCCTAAAGTGCTGTCGAGCTGCCCTGGTGAGGAGGGATGAGGGTGGAGGACTCCTCCACCAAGACCTGGTGTAGGATCACCAGTACCTGCTTTTGGTTTCAGGAGTGTCTGAGCAGACAGCGATCTCTCCGCGCTTGAAAAGCGCGAATAATTTTTGCCCGCAGAGAGAAGCTCTGCAACACGAGTTTTGTACACAGTGTCAGAGTTGTAGGTTCGTTTAAAAATAGATTGTTTTCGTATTTTTTAGAACGATCACTGCTTGCTTTTACCAGAGACGATGCCACTCCTAACAAGCCAGTCGATTAAGCCGGGATTAATGGTTTTGAACTGTGTATACCATTTGCAGAGTGATACAAAGGTGGACAGTTGAAGCAAAGCCAAATATCTGTGTCCATGAAACATGGCTAACCCGGTATGCCAGCAAAAGTAGGGGTCAGGCACTGAAAACAACCTTTGGCATACCCGCCGGTTTACTGGGATCCCTTTCATTTTTGCCTGATCCGTGTCATCCTTTGCTCGTGGGTGAAAGCTTGATCCTCCACGTCTTACCCTTATTTTGCATTGTTCTCTTTCCAGGTTAAAGAACTCGTTCTTGACAACTGTAGGTCATACGAAGGCAAAATCGAAGGCCTCACAGATGAGTTTGAAGAGCTGGAATTCTTAAGTACAATCAACGTAGGCTTAACCTCAGTTGCAAACTTACCAAAGTTAAACAAACTTAAGAAGGTAAATAAAATGTCCTGTGCTGTATCTCTCTCTCTCTGTGTAAAGTAGTTATTCCTATAAAAACATAATTTACCTGACCAAACTGCTTTGTGATACATGTTTGCACTAAAAACTCAAGATGTTTCTGTGCCTTTTAGCTCGAGCTAAGCGACAACAGAATCTCAGGAGGACTGGAAGTGTTGGCAGAAAAGTGTCCGAACCTCACGCATCTAAATCTAAGCGGCAACAAAATAAAAGATCTCGGTACAATAGAACCTCTGGTAAGTCCGTGCGCCACGGGATGAAGTCAGACCTCAATTTTGTGATGAGTAGAGGCGTTTCAGGCTTGGAAAGTCTGAAGCAGCTTGTAGTGGGGCGTCTTCTTTGGTGCTTATCGCTCCGGCCAGGTCGCTGCCTGGCTCAGCCCTGCCCCGGGGCTGTACCGGCAGCGTGAACGGCTGCTTCCCTCTAGCGGCTGCGGCTCTGCTGGTTTTCCATGCTGGTGTGGTTCCAAAAAGCATCCAAGTGTCCATTCCGGTGGTGCTGTTTTCTAGTTATCGGTGTGTGTGCCCTTTGTTCTTCTAATTACTTGCTCTTTCCTAATTACTTGCTCTTAAAACATCTCGAGGAGCAGATCCCGGATGAGTCCATCTTGCCTCTCCCCCAGCAGAACGGGAGAGCAGAGCAGTTAAACTCATGGAGTAAACAGATTAGAGAGAGGATTGTAACTGCTCCCAGTTTCAGGCTTATTCTTTTCCTGGTGTCCCCGTTGATCTACGCGCTGAACTCCAGAAGGGAGATATTTCCTAGGATTTGATACAAATCCTCAACTGCTTGTACTTTTATTGTTAGTACTTCAAAGCACTGTGGGCAATGCAGACCACCTCCTCCTCTTCAGAAAAAAAAAAAAATAAATTAACAAGAATTGAATTCCTGTTCAATTTCTAAGCTTTTTTTCTTTCTTCCGAAGGCTAAGGTACAATCATTACAATTTTTTGAATCTCTCTTAGCAAAATTCTTGTGTCCAAAGAATAACTTCTTCCATTGAAAGTGGTAGTTTAAATATACCTGACTGCTGGCTCCAATATCTTGCCTTGTGCTTTTGGGATAATTGACTGGACTACGGTGTTTTCTTAGGCTGGCCCCTCGCAGCACGTGTGATTTTGCACATTCTCTCTTTCCAAACTTCAGTCTTCTCGCGAGGTGCTGAGCTTGAGAGCCTTTTCCCCTCTCAGATGCCGAAGCAGCGATGGCCGGGCGTTGCAGGTTTCTGTTCCACGCCACGTTAGCAGGCAGAGACCAAACCGTCTCTTTTGTCAGGACAAGATTTTGAGCACGTTGACTCGGGCTGCCACTGCATTCTCTGCTCCGTAGAGAGTTACCGTAACGCTGAACTTCAGAGGCTTTCCTTTCTTTGCAGAAAAAGTTAGAAAACCTGAAGAGTCTAGATCTTTTCAATTGCGAGGTAACCAACTTGAACGATTACAGAGAAAACGTCTTCAAGCTCCTCCCGCAACTCACATACCTCGATGGCTACGACCGGGATGACAAAGAAGCGCCGGATTCTGATGCAGAGGGCTACGTGGAGGGCTTAGAGGACGAGGAGGAGGATGAAGATGGTATGTGAATTGTGCTACTTAGTGTACGTAAGTTAAAAGATCGATATGCTGCCTAGTACATTTTGCTTCCAGCTCTGACTTGTTGGCAAGAGAAGGGTGTTCTCAGCAGCTCCTTCCTGACGTAAAGGAGAAGTACCTCAGTGTCCTCTGAAGGAACGAGGGGAAAGGAGATGGGCAGGGCCTGAAAGAGCTACTTTCTCAGTCTTATCCCTAGTGAAAGATCGGGATGACAAAGAAGCGCCGGACTCTGATGCAGAGGGCTACGTGGAGGGCTTAGACGACGAGGAGGAAGATGAAGATGGTATGTGAATTTGTGCTTAGTGTACACAAGTTGAAAGATTGTTGTGCTGCGTGGTTTGTTTTGCTTCCAGCTCTGACTTGCTGGCAGTAGAAGGGCATCCTCAGCAAGTCCTTCTGACTGATGTAAAGCAGGAGTATCATGGAGTCCTGTGAATGAAGGAGGGGGGAGGAGATGGGCAGGGCCTGAAAGAGCTATTTTCTGTCCTATCTCTAGTGAAAGGGTGGGAGGAGGAGTAAGACACAGAAGGAGTTCAGGAAACAGCACACCCCAGGGGACGAGGACGTGGGGCAGAAATGGGTGAGGAAGGATGGCGTTGACATGCTGCAGTTTTCCAGGAACAGCATGATGCACGAAGGGAAGTATGAGCAGTCGCCCAGAGCCTGGTGCAGAAGGGCAGGGTGGAGAACCGGGCTGGGCACAGGAAAAAGGAGCTGAGTCAAAGAATGAAGTGAAGAAGCCAGGGCATTAGCAGGAGTTGGTAGCTGCTCCGTGAGGACAAAATGGGATCGGGCAGAAGAGGGGATCCTGGGTGTACGTGTTGGAGTCTGCCCGGGGCGCGGTCTGTGAAGGGCACTCCTGACTTTTTAATGTGAGGAAAACACACGGTGTGTCCTGCCGTGCCATGGGCACTGTTCCGTGGGCGCCGTTCTGCCGCCCCGGCAGGCTGCGCTCGGAGGCAGCGGCGTGCCGGTCGGATGAGTATCCGGCTGGGTTTGGGGAATTTGCTGGACTCTTCAAACCCAGCTGCACAGCGAAAGCGGAATAGCTGGACTTGCAGTTTTGCCTCGAGTGCTGAGCGTGAGCCCTGGCGAGAGGGCGAGTGCTCCGCGGTGCCTGGCAGCGCGGCGCGTTCCACCAGCAGCACGCGCTTTCAGCGGGGACAGCTTCTCCTCGGCAGAGCACAAGTCTGGGCCTGCACTCTGATGCATGAAAAAGCTCCAAAACACCATTCCTGCAGCGTGGAAAAACAATTTCTGCTTTGTCGCTTGGGCTAGTTGCGTTTAATCGCTTTCCTCTTGGAAAGAGACTGCAAACCCATCAGGCGGATGGGGTGTGACCCTTTTGTGTTGCTCTGGCAGCGTAAAGGCAAGGGGGGGGGGGTCCCAGTGCATGGTTGGCTTGTAAAGTTCTGCTCTGTCCCTGGTGGGAGCAGATGGACGCTTGCAGATGAAGAGCTCCACATGTCCCACGGGCTCAAAAATCCGTATTAGTAGTGGGAACTGGAGCAGCTGAAGCTAAAGCAGTCCCGAGGCTGCCGTGGCTTACTGTCAAGGCCCCTGCAGCCCTGGAGCAGCTCAGACCATGGATGCAGCTGCCACACCACCCTGCCACTGGGCTAAAGAGCCCGGTCTGGCAGCTGGGGAGCTGCCTTTAGTTCTGTACTGCCTTTAGGCAACGCTTTCAGTTTGCTCCTTGTGTCGATAGGATGTCCCATCTCAGGTAGCAGTGCTGGAAAAAAGTAAACTTTAAATGTCTGAGTGGTTAATTTTGTTTGACTGTATAGAGGAGGAGTATGATGATGATGCTCAGGTAGTAGAAGACGAAGAAGACGAGGAGGAAGAGGAGGAAGGAGAAGAGGAGGATGTGAGCGGAGAAGAGGAGGTAAGGATTTATGCAGTTAATAATGGCTGTGGAGTGACCATTCTCTAACCTGGGAATAGTTGGGTGAGAAATGGACCACATACTGGCGGCTGTAGTACCTGAAGTGTGTACTTTATTTTGCACTTGAGAAGCATCCCAGTGTGGGGGGGTTGGCTTTGAGATGGGCCTGTCTGTGAGCCAGCTGCCATCTAGTGACCATTGACGTGAAATCACTCTGTTTATCGAGCTGCCAAAAATACTGTCGGGACGTCTGCAGGGCTGGTTTGTGGGGCCTGGGCAGGGCTGGGGTTATAGAGGAAGAGCCGTTACATAAATTACTGACCCTGTGCTCCCAGAGGTTCCTCCTTGGGCAAGTACCTGGTGATGCTTCAGGATGCTTAAATTCGTAGTGTAGTCCAGCTCCTGTGTGTAGAGTCTGCTGAGAAACACAGGGTATGGGGCTAAAATTTCATAGAATCATGGAATGATTTGGGTTGGAAGGGACCTTCAAGACCATCCAGTTCCAACCCCCCTGCCGTGGGCAGGGACACCCTCCACTACACCAGGTTGCCCAAAGCCCCATCCAACCTGGCCTGGAACACTTCCAGGGATGGGGCAGCCACAGCTTCTCTGGGCAACCTGGTCTAGTGCCTCACCACCCTCAGAGGGAAGAATTTCTTCCTTAGATCTAATAAATCTCCCCTCTTTTGGTTTAAAGCCATTACCCCTCATCCTATCACTACACACCCTTGGAAAAAGTCCCTCTCCAGGGACTTTTGACTGTAGCAAGTCCATGTTATCTGGCCAAACAATCTTAGATCCTGAGCTGCCCCTCCTGAGTGGCGGCTGAACCCCTTCCCACATCCAGTGGCAAAACCTGCACTTGTATAAGCGCGTGGGAAGCGTCTGCCTTTTTGTTTGCTTTTTGTTTAAGATGCTTCAAGGACTTTGTTGTAAAATGCTGTTGGATATTGCCAAATTGTGAAAGGTCTTGCACTGAAACCGCCTTTTTTTTTCTTTTTTTTTCTCCTTTAAATCCAGGAGGATGAAGAACAGCAGCTCCTCAGGCTCTGGAGATGTCCGTTCGTGTTTCAACTCTCTCTGCCCCTCGAGCATGTCCCTTCTCCTGCCGACCCGTCGTCACGTTTTACCAAACTCAGGACTCGATAAAAAAAGTTTGCAGCTACCTCTGAGGGTGAAGTGTAAAACTATTTTCTCGCCAAGACTCGGAGCTGGAAGTGGCTGGGTGG